GTCATATACACTAACTTCTCCAAGGCTTTTGACAGGATTGACCACAAAATATTAATTCATAAATGAAATAAATTTGGTTTTAGTGCTTCTCTCATTACATTAATAAAATCATATCTACACAACAAAGGATAATTTGTTGCTTGCAACGGTTACTATTCTAGAATATATTGCCCTATATCAGGTGTTCCTCAAGGATCTAATTTGGGACCCTTGTTGTTTTTATTATTTATCAATGATCTCGTCACATCATTAGAGAGCAAACATTTATTATTTGCTGATAATTTAAAAATTTGCACAAATGTGACTTTTCAATTACAATGTTTATTTTTACAAGAAGAATTGAATAAAATCTCTGATTCTCCATCTCGGTTTTGCATGATTATCAAATAAATAACATATCTTTATCAAGGGTTACGCAGATGCAAGATCTGGGAGTCACATTTGATTCTAGTTTGCAATTTATAGAACATATTAATAATATAGTTTCTCAGTCTTCTAAAGTCTTAGGATTTATTATAAGAAATTGTAGAACTTTTCCTAATGAAATTGCTCTAAAAACGCTATTTTTTCTTCAATTCTTATCTAGCAGGCTTGATGGAATTTATCCTGCAGAAGGTATTGACCAATTTATTTTGGTACATCGTTTCAATGTCCATTTCTTACAACTAATAAGAATACATGTAGGGCTGACGTTTCTCTATAAAGTAGTACAAAATTCTATCGATTCCTCAAATCTTCTTTTTGAAGTGGATTTTCACGTTCCTAGAATCAACTCTAGAAGTATTACTGCGTTTTACTCAGACAATGCAAGAACTAAAATTCTTTTTAGAATTCTTCATAGAATGTGCAACAATTTTAATGATGTGGCAAACTTATGCGATATTAACTATGATTCACTAACATTAATTTTAGATAAATTCAGTCAATATTTTTATTTAAATTTAATTTTACAATAACTCTTTAACTTTAATTTTTTGTATAATTTTCTGATATTCTAGTTGTTGTTTTTTGTTTTTTCCCCTTATATACTTATATATTTTTTTTTGTAACTTAAATATAATAGTGCTTGCTAACTGTATGGTATTGATTATATCTTTAATGTGTAACTGTGTTATACTAACATGTATGTATTCTAATTTATATTGTCTTGTAAATGGAGATTCTTAATTGGACAATAAAACTTTATTTATTTATTTATAGGTCAAAACTCTATTATTAAAATATAAAAATAAAATATACTTAAAATTTGTTCCAGCCATATAATACTATAGTCTAGAGATGGAGTTTACTAATTTAATTTGTAGAACGTGTTAGAGGTTCAAGAGGTAGACATTTTATTTATACTTCACCCATATAAATGAAAATTTTAATACATGGTTTTTACTGTAATAAACTATTTCTTTTGACAGATAAGTCAGACTTTGTTTCTTTATTATTTTGCAAAGTACGTCTATGGAATGTGACGTGATATACCCACTTTTATTACACTCTTCTTTTATTCAGACACATACATAAAATCCATTCAATTAATGTACAAAGAAGATCAAAAACAATTACTAAATACAACTTATTTAAAAATATAATGGAACAAAATGGATTCTAAGTTTACCATTTAAAGAATGAGAGCAATTTTTTAATTTAAGTATCTTTTGTCATAGTCTGATTATTGATATTCTTTCGTTAATAAAATTAAATATATATGTAGTTATTTTTGCTTTTGATTTTATTTTTTATTTTGTCAACTGTATATGCTTTATTATTATACTCACATTGTTGTAGCATGGAAATAGAAATGAAATTTGTCATCTACACCCAGGATTTTCCTTTTGTGGGTTTTAATAAATACAAAAAATCTGTATCGTAATTATAATAATTATGCTTTAGATTATTTTCAATATGATACATATTTTATACGAGCAATACTCCCGTCATCACAGTCTCTTTGAAAAATAGTGAGATTATTTTATAATTTAGTATAGTTTAAATTATCTAACCAATGAGTAAATGATATCCAAAATAGATTTTGGAAGGTTGAGGTGGGGGAGGCTACATGGCCCACAGTCTTAACCAAATCTAATCTAATATCTAATGAAACTAATTATTTCAAGATAACACATTTTTAACAATTTATTATCGCATAGGTATTTTTAAAATTCCGAAATTTTTTAACAAAAACGTCATTCACTGATGCTCAGCATTCCAATGTTGCATAATTTTTTTTTCAAAACTAACATTATTATCATTACGATTTAATTATCTATGTGTTTTTTTATCGTTTTGTTAAAATTTCACTCTCTTATAATCACTAATTTCTATAAGCTATGCTGTTCAAAATTCAATTACTTATTTGGATATTAATTAAACATCGTTACGATCTTAATTATTTTTGCTTATAATACATATCAGGTAATCTAGTTTATTTAGTTAAGTAATATTTACGTAATTCTTTCTTAAAAATTATGCAAATTTCGGTCACGAAATAACGAGAGATATGAATTAGTTTTTTTCAGTTTAATTTCACATAAAACTAATTTGTATCGTTAGTACCCCGTATCAAATTACACCACATACCATGCGATTAAGAAAATTAGATTGGTTTGCACACAGTTCGTTAAATGACATGTTCATACGTTGTTAAAAAGTAGGTAAGTAATAAATTTAGAGGTGTAAACACAATAAAACATAGTGGGGTATATTCTGTAATACATCCGTTAAAATTTAGAGACCTTTGAAAATTTAACTTTTATTCTGTATACACAAATTTTAGAGATCTGTTAAATATTATTTCTTTTAACGGATCCCCTTGAAAGTGACAGGAGAACACTTGACAACATCGCATTTAAGATTTATTTGAACTAATTTTGAAGGATTAGAAGAATAAATTTGAAAACATAAACATAGAAAACCTCAATTTTCAATTCAAAACCAAAAACCTACATACATTTAAAATAAAAAATGTCGCGCGCACCGATAACTACTAAAAATCAAAAGGAGTTGATAATAAACTTCTTAGAATAGCAAAATTTGCTTCACAGTGGAAAAATAAACTCAATAGATACAACGAAATTGGTTCTATAATATTAACTATAGCTAAATCTTAAAAACCGAAAAATATTTTTAAAATCTACATTTGGCAACTGAAATGGATCGCTCAAGTTCCTAATTGACCTCTCAAATATTAAATAAAAATATAAAATATAATAAATGTACATAGATTATAAATGTGTTGTACTTTATTTTACCTTTCATAATTTTCCAGTAATTCTTCAATTAAAATTATGTCATAAAACGCCATTATCGGTTCCGTTAAAACTTAAAGGTAAATTTTAACATCCCTTTAAAAATAATAATTATTGGAGGACTATTTTAAAGGAATCCGGTTAAATAATGACAGAAGTAAGTTAGTGAATACGAAAATATTTTAACGGCCGTTAAAATATAAAGGAATTGTTACAGAATATACCACAGTAGAGCAAACGACATTTCTTTAGCGGATTTTAGAATATTAAATTTTGGTATAGAAGAAATTCAGGATTTTTTTTGATAATTTCTTGGTAAAATAGAACATATTCCCATTTTTATCTTCTGTTTGTTAAGCTGAGCTTTCAACCAATTTTACTTTGAAGTTCGATATTACCAACCGTACCAACTAATCCAAACTGTTCTTCGCGTTTGTGCTTGCTGTGATGGTACAATTGTTAAAATGACAGCGAATTAACATAGGTTTTAGAATTTTATAACTTAATTCACAAATATAAAAACAATTTTTTTCATCATAAAGAAATTCAAGTATTTAAGAAAAAATAGAAGTAATATAAAGTCCGCTTTTAGATATTCCCAGTTTTCTTTGAAGGTTCTTCTCTTGTTTATTATAGTTTTAAGATTCGTAATAGTAGTTTGTGCAACAAGAGTGGATATGGACAATCCACTCGAGTTGTACAGTATATTTTTTCTACGACCCACTAACGGAAATCTACAAATTAAAAACATATTTTAGGTTATTAAGACAAAATAACTAATTTTAAAATAATTTATGAATTTTACTGATTATTAAAATAAAATGAATATAAAAAAAAAAATAGTCACCAGCTGAGAATCCATCCCCGGCTTTTCGCGTGGAAGTCAAGAACTCTGTCCATGCCTCCAAGTCCCCTTTTACAATTTTAGTTTTAATATTCGTAATTAAAATAGTTTCATATAGTTTGATTAAAAAATTTTTTTTTTTAAATATTGTTTAAATAAAAATAGAAATACTATTATTTACGATTATTTATCGATTCTACACAAAAATAACTCATTTTAATGTATATTTAATCTTAATAATTAAGAAATATACTGACAGTTAGTTTGACAGGATTGTCACTTTAAAAATATGAACTGTGATTGGTGGATTTAATTTTTTGCCGTGTTCTCACTACCTAGAATGGATATGAAATATATTCGTTCAGTTGAACGCAATGACATACTTTTTCGTTTTGTAGTCTGTGCGTAGATAAGCTAATATACATGTGGGCGTAGAAAAAAATATTTTAATACATCAATAAATGGTGTTTATGAAAATAATGTGTAGAATCTTACTCCAGGATCTCTTCTTTATTCAATTTATATCCATATTGATAAACAACGCAAGACCTACATTAGAAATATAAATATGCCGAAGATATAATTTTTTCCATCAAAATTAACGATGACGGATAATCTTTCGGCGGCTGGCTGGTCACAAATTAAAATCTAAATCAAAAAAATTTCCTTCGTGTGCATGTTGTTTTTATTTTCAAATTTTAATTGTCAAAACGATCTACTTTATACAATCAGTTACATAAAGTTGAACATTATGCAACTAATTACGAAACGTTGATTATGTCACCAGATACAAAATGAAAATAAATAAAAATGCCTTTTCTTGGTTTTTAAATCAAAATTTACATTGATTTTGAAAGGTTGTATCAAAGAAAGAAAGGTTGGCAATATATAAAAATAGATTTTGTCAGTAAACTTACGATTTGTAATTCTGGTTCCGTCGCTAATTTAAACCGTCTTGATCGATTCTAAATTTGCACAAAATCATCAAAACATTGTTTTACACGACACTGGCATGACTTTATAGAGAAGTTAGCAATAGTCATGTTAGACGATTTGACATTTACCTACAATACCTAGGTATTTATTTTCATCAAAAATGTCCTAAACACAGGATAACAACATGACTTTATTATAAAGAAACACGAAAAAAAAATTGCTTATGATGTGTAATTTAACGTTTAGCTAGCCCGACAACACAACAAGTGGTTGAAATGAAATAACTATATCATTTCATAGGTAGTTATGCAACTAAAAATGCAATGAAATAGGGATAAGCGATATTTCATGTCGCAGTGATTTTGTAGAAACAAAAATAAATCGAATTAAATTATAAAGCGGATTCATGCCTGTATTTCCTTATGAAAATAGATGATGCTATTCGAGGTTATATGTTTTCTACTGACATCAGTTTTCTGTTAAATTGACGTTTAAAAAAAATGTTTTGAACAGTACATAGCCAGCTTTAATTTGGACTCTTATAAGTTTTTAAAATAGAAGAGGTGAATGTTCTACTACGTTTTTTTCCAATCGTAATATTAAAAAAATCCCGTATGGATCCAACTTTATAGAACACCCTGTATAAAAAAAATGAGTTTACGAAAATAAGTAGTGGCTCATTTTCAGTCTATAGAAGAAATGTTTTTTATATTCTATAAATTTTCAAAGCAATATTTGGATTTTGGCGATTATTATTTCATTTTTATCTGAATAACTAAAAAAAAGTTTCTGTGTACCGTGTTTGAAACAGCACAGGGATTCTAATGAGCGAACTCGACACGTTACGCATCGAATAGAGAGGGAGAGAGAGACATTACATATGAATCGCAGTCGGTCTAACGAAGATAGCCTTCATTCATTTGTATGTGACAGAAAACTTTTGCTCATTTGTTGTCACTTTTACCACAAAGTCCAGTTTAAAATCCGGATATTTAAATGTGGCAGTAACAATTAGATATCAGTGATACTTAAAAATAACGATATGGCCCATCTTTACAATGAAAGTATAATCGATTATATACAGTATGTCCCCCTAGGTTGGTTGTATTTTAGGTTTTAGACCATGCTCGACTTTTTATAAAAAATACCTTGTTTTCCTAAAATTAGTAATAAAAAAGATTTTCATATGCCACCAACTGTCTACGTAAATTGGTGGCATATGAAAATCTTTTTTATTATTAATATTGGGAAAAAAGTTATTCTTTATAAAAAGTCGAGCATGGTCTAAAAAACCTAAAATACAACCATCAGATATCAAATTTTATCAGTCGTGTAAAGAATAAAGGTACTTTACTCTTGTGTAAAACTTTTGACAAATCTCGTATACCACTAAAAAAATTTGATATTTGATGACTGTATTCTAGGTTTTGGATAATGCAGAACTTTTTATGAAGAATAACTTTTTTCCTACAATTAATAATAAAAAAGTTTTCCATATGATTCCAACCTAGGGGGACATACTGTAGATGTTGCATGCATAAAGTTTAAAAGAGGGAAATGAAACGCAAAAATATCAGGATCGAGACGTAGGTGACGTAGGTACACAATACAACTAACTGAAGAAATATTTACAAATTTAAACTAGCTCTTTTGAATAAAAATTTAAATTTACCTATGTAATGAAGTTAGCTACATACATAGGAAATAATTTTAGTAAAATTCTTTAAGGCCGAAAAAATGTATTAATATTTTCTTTCTTTTAAAAAATATTTGAAATAACTACTTTAAATAATGTAAATTATAAAAAAATGTGACATTACTTCTCGAATACAATAAGTTTCTGAAATACTTGACTGGAAGTACCTACAAAAGAATGATGTTTAAATCATACTTAACCAAACACAATTTCATAAATAATCAAATCAAAATTAGAAAAAATCTTGTATGTAATATGTTACGAAATGCGGTTTTGTGTATCTTATTAATTTTGCAGCACCTCGGTCCGCTCGTCCCGCAGATATTTACTCGTTATACAAAATAAGGCATTTTGTAACTGGTTACATAAATAGCTATTATATAATAACGCCTATTTCAGCACGTAAATTGTCAAAATTAAAATATTAAATCAACTACTTGGATAAAGGCTTTACACAAAATTAGATTGAATTTGCAGAATTAAATTATATAAAGCTGTTTTAAAATATTTGTATTTCTTTCCATATCTATTTGTTATTTAATAGATTCTAATATAGGTTAGGTTAGGTTTAATAAATAACGAATAATATATATCATAAATTTGCAGATAATTTAGTTTCTACTTTGATTTTAAATATCTTATCGAAAAGTATTTAAATTTGCGTTTTTTAGGTCAATAACATTGGTAAACAAAAAATTAGATATAATTTACTTTCATAATTTATACATACCAACATATATTCTTATGATAATGTAGCCATTAGTTCGGTTCATCACACATTTAATTTCAATAAATTTACATTTTTTGTTTGAAATGATTTCTAAAATAAATATAAATATTTAAAATTAATATATTAAATTAAAAACAGATTGCGATTTAAGATAAAATAAGTAAATAAAAAATATTTTTAATGCATATTTTTTAAGAAAATTTTAATTACATTTTGTATTGTAAACTCCAAAATTACAAAATTCTAAAATTGTTACAGTAACATTTTTAGATGATGTCCCTACATATAAAGCTTCGACTTGTAAATGCAGCAACACAGGTTTTCGCCAGGTTTGTGGACATCCCTTCGAAAACTACGGCCCCAATTTTACCAATTACTTATATTTTCTGCAAATGCTTGTCTATATAAATTTTCTCTCGTTTAACTCCCATAAGGGATCATCAACCAACAAAGTTCACATGGGTGGAGATAAAACTGCTCCTTGCGATTATCCTTTGCTAACTGAGATCTCTTTTGTGGTGTTAAAGAGATTACTAGTCAATACACTGCATGATGTAGTGATGCCGCAAGACGAGACGAGAAAGGGGCCTCTCTCGTCTCGTCTCGTAGGGCGAGAGAAAACTGATCTCTCGTCTCGACGAGAAGGCGCTCTCTTACTGGAGAGAGCCTTTCTTTCGTCTCTTCTTGTCTCATCTCGTTTTTCTCTTAATAAAAACATATTTAATTTAAATTTGGAAAAGATATACTTAAAAAAAAAAACATAAAAAACTGTAAAATAACAAACAATTTTTCAAACAACTTGTCTCATCAGTAACCAAAATAAGAAGCACTTAGGGAAATACCTTGGTGTCTCTCTGCCTGCCCATCTGTCCATCTGTCACAATCGTTTTACTTAGAGACTATTTGACATAAATAATTGAAATTTAAAAAATTCTAATAGACACTTATCATTGGTGGAATATTTACTTTTAAGTAGACAAAAAACTTCTTCCAGCTTCCAATTAAAATTAATTTTAAATCAATGACATTGAAAATAATTTTTCTTATAACTTACTCTTGATAACATTCAAAATACATACGTATTATTTGTTACCATTTAATATATAAAATACGTGGGTTATAGTTAACGTTTTGACTATCTGGAAATCTGATATGTTAAAATTTTAAGGTACGAAATTTTAAATAAGCAAATAGTAAATTGCTCGAGTGAATTCGAGAGAAACCAAAAATTCTCGTCAAGAGATGACACTCTCTCGTCTCGAATCTTTTTTCGAGAGAAAATGTCTCTCTCGTAAGACGGGACGAGAGACGAGAATCTCCTGTCTCGATTCCTCACTACTGATCTATGCAAAGCTTCCAATATTGAACTGTATGAAGTCGAATCAAAGGCTACCTTTCTGTGTCTAGGAATTAATACTTCTAGTGTTATTTCTTTGCTTTACAAAGCGTGTTCAGCCTTTTAAGCTAGCCTACGTATAGCTAAATCGGAAGACTTTACAGATTGGCAGGCAAACTGTAAAACATCGTCCCGTATCTATCCATTATTTTCTCCCAAGGTTTTTAAGAGGAATGTTGTTAGGCTAATTTTATCTGATATTTAGTAATTAAGTCTTATTTTACTCAACCATCAAGTTGTACAATGAATTAAAATTTAGGCAAGAGTCACAATATATCCTATAAGGTCGTAATGAAAGGAATATAACATAACCAAAATGTATATTTCTACAGTTTTGGGAACGATCGTAACAAATTTGAAATATTTGGGTATGCCTTGCCCCCTTACAGGATAGAAATATAATCTGCATTTATAAACAGACGCACGACCTTGGCAAACTGACTAAATGACATGTGACAAGTAAAATGATATCAGGAATTAAAAAAAATTATCTAATACTTCAATATAAGAAGAAAGCATTATATTTATTTGGTAGCCTTGCAGTTATATAAGCGCATGTATTGGAATTTTTATAATGTCCGAATTAATGTTATTTTTATTAATACCTTGCCTAAATTGCGTTTAATGTGAAACACTCTCTATGGGCAATAATAAAATACCAAAAGTCCAATAATAATCTTTAAGTGTATCCGTTTATAATTTATAATACACCCATAATAATGATATCGAACGTTGTCCTAGATGTTAAAAGATTAGTTACAAAATTCTAACTCATTCAGTTTTTTCTTTCTTGGTCAATTATAGTTAACGGTTTGAACCAGTTACAATAATCGTAAAAACAAAGATTTCAAATCTGTATTAAGCTATGAGTTTATGAAATATTTCTGCGAAAAACATTTGTTAGGAAACAATGCTGTTCACGAACACGAAACTAGCCTATAATTAATTGATCAACTCCCCCAAAAAGGAACATACATTCATGTAATTTTGAAGCGATTGAATTAGAAACAGTATGGACAAGGGCGGATTTGCCCAGAGGCTCGACCACGCCTTTCCTTCTTGTTTCAAGGTTCGATTCAGTTAGCGCTCATATACAAAGATACTTATTTTCATCACAGAAGCGAGTAAAAGTGTGGGTAATTATCTTAAAAAGATTAGTTTTGACTGCAATAATTATTATTGCTTAGTCATTTTATGAATAAATCAAAACTAACGATTTATTTACAACATAGAAGTTTTATAATACTTTATATAAATTAAATGCAACAGTTTGTAGAAAAATTTTGGTAGGTACTGGTTTCGACGACGCTGGGTCGTCATCAGGTCTGAAAATAACAATTTGTGACTAAATAGTACTGCAATGAGGGATTTTACAAAAATATAAAAAATATGTAGTTATTTAAAGCTTGTTTAAAAAATCAACAT